CCTAACTCTCGGAGGGACCATATAGCAGGGTACAAGTTTTGAATTTTAGGAATAACTAAAATTTCCTCTTCAAGAAGTACTTGAGGAGTTTTAGCAGGTAGGTGTTTTATCCTCCTGATGTGGAGTGGGAGTTACTGTTTGAGGTTCTTGGGTATCTTTGCTTACTGCTACCATATGTCTGCTGTTATTGTTTGCCATACAGTTGGAACTGGCCCATAACTGACCTTCTGGTGAGTTTTTAGAGGAAGTTAATTGCACAGGAGGAGATTGCCCATCCTTCTGTCGTGGAGCAGCTGGTGGTCTCAAACCACATGCCTTCAAGATTGCAGTGCATCTTCTTGCCACTAAGCCACCATTAACTTAAGAGAGACCTGAGACCATTTGCCCTATCAGCAGCAATCAAGCTGCAATCTAGTGGTGTAATGAAGGAGCCATTACCTTGTGAGAGCTCTGAGTGATGACTTGGCATTACAAATATAGACTTTTTTCTCAGTGTGTCCAGTTGTTCTGGAAAACAAAGGATTTCTAGAAAGGCTTAGGACCCTAGCCCTGATGTCTCAGTGTTTTTCTTTTCTTTTGGGATTTGCCGATTGCCTGTGCCTGTCGTTGGGAGCCATCCATCTGGTATACACTAGCCAAGGCACTCAAGCCTAGGAAAGATCACTTCTTTCCCCCTCGCATCAGAAAGTCTTTCTGAATTTCATAGGCAGTCAATTCAAAGCACTTGATGTCTGTGACACTTATTACTATATAATCTTTGTTCCTTGTATCTATCCTGGGAACTAGGTTTCATCTTCTTTCCTGTCTGCTCTCAAATTCCTAGGTCACATCATCTATGCAGACTGATCTGTGTGTTTGTTTATCTTTGGAATTTGAGATTACCAGGACTAAACAGACTAGCCAGCCCCGGGACTTTTAAACAGTCTATTTTAAAATTCTCTCACTAATTTAGAGATCTTACTCCTTAGAAACTCCTAGGCTGCAGTTTCTAATTTATTTAGACTCTGCCTCCGGAATGAGAGGATGAAAGGCACCCAAGCGTGGAGGACTCTCCCTCATAGGGTCGCTATGAGTCGCCTGCGACTTGACGGCACTTAACAACAACAATAATAACAACTGCCCTTATTCTAGCAAGCTATTACGGAAGTGGATGCCACTTCTGCTTCCAAGCCATGGGTAACCATTATTATATCCAGAAACCCTATGAACCTGGAGAAAGGATGAAACTCATGCAAGTGTTGGGGACTTTTGTTCATAAGGTCACTATAAGTCGCCTAGGACTTGGCAGCACTTAACAACATAGAGACCAGTTGACCTAGTGGAGCTAAAGTGATGCTACCAAGCCAAAGGTGGGTGACTCTAATCCGTGGCCCTCAGGCCTGTTTTTAATTGTTTTTGGTCAAACATTCTTCTAGGTCACATAGCCCTAGTGTGTCCACTTGCCATACAGAGGTAACTTGTGGTTGCTGTGAAGCTGAACACTGTGACACTGATGTGTCAAATGCGATAATGGTTACCGATGGTTGACAGTGTTTTGTGGAGTTCTCCAATTAAAACAAGCTTGGAAGCAGGAGTGGCATCCACTTCCATAAAAAGCTTGCCTCCAGAAACTCTATGAACTCAGAGAAAGGATGAAAGTCACGCAAGTGTAGAGGACTTTCGTTCATAGGATCTCTATGAGTCACCTACAACTCGACGGCACTTAACAACAACAACAACAACAACAACAACAACAACAACAACAGCTCTTACTCTATTACCATGCTCCTTAAACATGAGCCTTGCTTCTTTGGTCCTTTCATCCTCTGACTTAAGAGCTTTCCCTTGACTTAGCTCCATTCCTATATGCCTTGCCTCTCATTTTTTCCTACTGAAATCTTCAAATCTATAAGCTCCAAGCTAATGCTAGGTTAAACTTAAGATGAAGAGGAGGAAAAGATAAATTCAGATATTTTCCCACTCACACCCTGACTGAAAATCCAGCAAAGGTGGAAAGTTCCCTGAGAGGTAAAAAACCAAACAAAATAAAGTCACTTGTAAAGCTTCTCCCTTGAAAACCCACCCTGGTCCCCTCTGCTCATTGCTGCCACTGCCTCCAGTGACTGCCACTTGAGAAAGGGCCAGAAGTGAGCTTTCAGAGGGAGTACTAATCCCACATAAGCAGATCATGACCTTTATTCCCCCTTGCACCGGGTGCAAGGGGGGGGATGAGATGGAGGAGTCAGTAGCCCTTTCTTTCTAGATGCCAAAAGCCCCAACTCAGGCACAAATCAACCAGTCACCAACAAAAAATACTCTTAAAAACCGTGCACAAATCTTCCTACATTGCAGGTCTGTACCAGGAAGAGGAGAAATGACACTAGCCACCAGTAAATATTATATCACCCCACATCTACTAATAGTATTAACAAAATTAATATTTTACTTACCAACCTGTGTTATGTTTTCATGCAGGAAGTTTGAAAGGGTGCAAAAAAGAAATAGAGGTAAAACAGATGCGTAAGGAAGACAGACTCTTCTAGCAGAGATTAGCAAGGGAATTAGGTCTTTAAATGACCCCCAACCAAGAGGAAGCTTCCGGTTACTTGCTTTCATGTTAGGGATTTATATCTGTGTGCCATTTTAGGGTTCAAGATGATCTTGGCCGCTCTGGTCTCAGAACTCACCTTGAAAAGATTAAGATGGGCCTCCACAAGAAGAAGGTTTTTGCTGATGGACAGACCTCCTAAACCGCCTTCAGCTGTGCTCCAAGGCTGAGACTATCAAAGACCACCCTGGAGTAAGAAATTTAAGTGGAAGCCCAGGGACATTAGGGATTTTGTAACTATCTACACAGCAAGAGGGATTCTATCTGTTATCTCCCTTACATGGAAAGAGGAATTGCCATGCTTTCCTTCGGTCCAGTGGCAGTTTTGCTAATTCTTAAAGGTGTTGGAGACAAACAATAGCGAAAAGTATGAATTAATATTAGTTAAATGTTAAGAGAGACAGTCACTTAACACAGTCACTTCTGATTCACTGATTTGAAGATTGCAGGTAAAATGTGCTAAAACGAGTTCTTTTTTTATTAATTTTTTATTAATTTTAATGAATGTTTACAGAGATTTTAGATTTCCATTCATTCATTGTTGCATTTTCTCCCTGCTCATCCCTCTCCCCCAGCTCTTCTCTTTGAAAAATCCTTTCATTGGTATACAATCCCCTCCCACACACACACACACACACACACTGTCCCCGAGGACACTCCACTATGCAACCTTCATTCTGAACTCTTGTCATAACCATAATACCCAATCGTATATCACTTTTAAATAGTTCTTTCCCTCATCTATTTCAATGTAGTATACATAATTTATGCAATCTTAGTCTCACCTCAGATCTGATGTCAGTCCCGTTCTACAACAGTAGCACTATGCATTATTTGTCCTTTTGTGACTGAGATATTTCACTCACCATAATGTCCTCCAGGGTTACCTATTTTGAATAATATTGCATGAGTTCCTTAAAACTGGAGTTCTTTTTACCTCTTCACCACTCCCTAATATTTCCCATGAAAGGTTATGTTGAAGTGACCGTAAATAAGTGAACAGATGTACACACAGTGGTAATTTAGCAAAACAACTGAAAAAAGTTTATTAAGATAAGGCAAAGGAGTCATGGTTGGAAATGCAAAAGAGTTAAAGAGAAAAGGGGGAGAAAAAGGCCTGCAAAATCAGAGGGGAAGCCAAAACTTTTGGTTCATTAACAGAAGAAAAAGAGAGAGTGACCCTGAGGTGGACACTCTTAGAGCTTTTATTGGCTCCCAGTCTCCTGAGACTGGTCATAGCCTCGTGCTGTCTAGGGACATGCGGATTTGTTGGGGTTTGGATCCTCTGCACTTCTGAGAAGGGGACTTTATCTTGATCCTGATGTAATTGTCTTTCTGGTTCCTGCCAGAAGAAGTATTATCATGTTGATGCAACTATGCTTCATTCCCTTCCTATTTTCTCTGAGAAACTTTGTTTTTTGGGAGTAAGAGAGAGTAAGCAATTGAGTGAGCAATCAGATAGTAGGAATCTTTCCCTTGGCAAATATGCAGATAGCTATATTTTTAATTATCATCAATACCATCATCATTATTACTCCAAGCACATACTATACAGCTTCACTTTTTGATTTAACATCCTTCAATTTTTAATTTATAATCACTCTTTTATTTTTTAGAAGTTCTCCTATGTGTCACATGAGCTGTGGTAACCTGGTGGTAGGGAGTTGTGCTGGCAACCCAAAGAGAGGTGCACTGGCAGCTCCTTGGAAGGAATAAGTAACAGAATTTGGCAGTGTATCTCCTCATTTGCAACTTCTATCCCCTGAAAACCTACTGGAGGATTAGTTATGAGTAAGTTCAGTCTGGACAGTAATGAGTTGAGCTGTAATTTGCTTCAAGATGGGGCTAAATATATGACTAAGATTAATTATTTATCTCTCTTGAATGAAACTAATCATTCACAATGACTTCACATTGCCTTCAACATTTGCCTTTATTACTTATTTTCCTGTAGTTAAATATGTTTTTATATTTTTCTGGATCCTTGACTTTTTGAGGTAACTCATATCTCTTTTGGCTTCTGGGTTCAGTAGGTATTTCATGTATTCAATACTCCAGAAATCCTTGTTAAAGGTTAAATAACTTTCTCTTAATTACTCTCTACCATTTTGTTCATTTGTCTATCATCATCCCAATGCCTTTTTACCACTAATTTTCAAACTCCTTTTCTCCCCACATGGAGTCTTTAAACACTTTTTTCTCATTCTTTAACATCCCTTCCTGTCATTCACTTTCAAGTATTTGCCAACCAATTCATTGCTCTTGTTTCCTCCTTATTTGTTCATGATTGTGTAATGATTTTTAATGACTTTCTGTACCCAAGTACTATAAATACTTCCTCTGGTTAGCCAGTAAACCAAAGGAAGCTCTTTTACTTATAGCTATTTGACACAACAGAAACAGAGGCTCCATCATGCAGACTTCTGGCAAGGTAAGTCTGATCCACATTCATTTAATCAGGTATAAAAAAATACGCACTGATGCAAAATTAAGACAGCTTGTTCTCTGGTGAGATTAACAATTTTTTTAAAAAAAACTATAATACCCAAATATTTCCCCAACTTTAAACTCAACTTCTGGGAAAATAAATAACTGAGAATGTCTTGGTTAATATTTTTATTACATTAAATCAACAAAAAGACAATTCATTTTTTATAATAGATCAAACTCTTTATACTGTGTCTATTATTTAATCCAGAAATTTATTCCAAGGAGTAATGATTTATGCATTTGTAAAACAACATATATCAAATGCTAGGAAGGATTAGGAAACTAGGTAAGCAACTTACGATAGTAAAGTTTTAGGTGATAGCATTGTTAGTGAACACAAGCATTTCTTTCATTTCTCACTTTTCAGTATCCATAGCACTTTATTGAAGATCTGGGAGAGCAAAGGGAATTCTTTCTAAAACTGCCTCCTATCTAAAGATGGTTATTGCCTTTTTAGACAAATTTATTTTAATTATTTTTAAAATTTTTATCTTGGTTTGCTCACAGAGTTCATATACACTGTATTTCACACTATTTTTCATTCATATTATGTTTAATACAATCATTCCCATGCATCATATTTTATAAAATCAGTCACCACTGGAACTTGCCCATCGTCCAATCTTTTCAGGTCCCTGCTGGATCCTTCCCATTTCCTTCACCCTCTCCCTCCATCCACCAAATTGTGAAACCCTGTGGTGAGTGAATGAACTCAGTTTCATAAGGACAAATACGGCACAAGACCATTATTGTAAAAATAGAGGGATAACTAGTAAGACCTGTATGGGGACCCAAGGGGAGAAGAAGTGGGAGCAGATGAGTGAGGATAGATAGGGGCAAAACTACAGGGTTATTGCCTTTTTACTTGAATTAGGTACTAATCTACTTAACATTACTATCTGTAGTTCAAAAATAAATGTTTCTTACATTCAAAAAATAATTTGCATACAGTATTCAGTAAACAGACAGCCTAAGTTACAGTTTACTTATGACTGAGAAAAACGCCATTTTAAAAGATAAATACTAACTCAAGAAAGATGAAAGATGCATTTTCTTTCCCAGGCAGGTAACCTGCATAAGTATAGACAAAACAGGATCTAAGGATGAAATAAATGTTAATTAGAAGGTTGAATCAGTTTTACAGGCTGGAAACTCAGGATGTCAAGTTTTTAGAGCTATACCATGTGTTTGAATAATCCTGAACTTATTGCGAAAACCTTTTTCTTAAAGCAGTCTTATATCTGTTTTAACTGAAAGAGGTTGCTCTGATCCCAGGAAAATTGTTCTGGGTTGGTTCTTGGGGAAGCAGAGTTTCTTTACAAAGAGATTGTCTCTTGATTTATGAGTTCCCTACTTGGGAATAGGGATGTAGAATCCCTGGCTGCTTTCTGCTGAAAATGGACATCAAGATGAAGGGGTGAAAGTGAAACCACTTTAACACTTAATTGCCAGTCTTGAGTTGTTGTTATTATGTGCCATCCACTCAACTCCCACTCATAGCAAGCCTATGTACATCAGCTCTGAACTCATCAGCTCTACTTTAGCCAACCTCACTGTCTCTGACATGCCTAACTGCTATTATCCCAGTCACTGAGTCACTCTATCTCATGCAGCATTCTCCTCTCTTGTGCTGTCACTCCATATTTCCAAGCATGATGTTTTTCTGCAAGGACTAGTTCTGCCTAGAAATAAGCCCAAAGTATGTCAGACAGAGCTTCAAAATCCTTGTGTCCAAGGAGCAGACTAATTTAACCTTCTCTAGGAAGGACCTGTTTGTTCTTTTAGCATTTCATAGTGTAGTCAGTACTCTTCTCCAGCACCACAATTCAAAGGCATCAATTCTTCTCCTATCATCTTTTGCCATTGTCCAGCTCTCTGATGTATATTAAGTAGTTGTGAAGACCATTGCCCAGATTAGGCACACCTTAGATTCTAGACTGACATCATTGCTCTTCAGTACTCATGAGAGATCCCTGACAACATATTTTCCCAATGCAATTCATCTTTTGATTTCCTGGATGCTGGAATCACAAGTGTTGCTCTAGAGCCAAGTAAACTAAAGCTGTTAACAATCTCAATCTCTTCACTGTCTATCATGATACCTCCAATTGGCCCAATGGTGAGAATCTTTGTTTTCTTGATATTGAGCTTCAGTCCATATTGAAGGCTGCAGACCTTGACCTTCTACAGTAAATGCCTCAAGTTTTCCTCAGTTTTGGCAAGCAAGGTTATGTCATATTCATAATGCAGGTTGTTGTTTAGTCTTTCTCCAATCCTGATGCCACATTTCTTCTCAAAAATCCCAGCCTCCCTGATGATCTGTTCCACACACAAAATGAAAAGGTTTGGAGATAAGACATATCCCTGGCATACATCTTTCTCAATTTTGGACCATGCAGTGTTTCCTCGCTCTTTTCTGATAACTGCCTCCTGGTCCAAGAATAGGTTTCATATAGCACAATCAAGTATTCTGGGATGGTCATTGTTCTCAGAGTCAGCCACAGTTTGCTGTGATCTACACAGTCAAATGTCTTTGCATAGTCAATGAAACACAGATAGACATTCCTCTGGTACGCTTTTCAGATGGAGGAAAGTGGCTTAGATAAAGTCTCTTATACACAAATATAAGGGATTCATTTAAGCCTACTTTTGGTGTTCCTTTAATTCAGAGCAAGGCCAAAGCAACACCTGATTTTACAAGAGATGAGTTTCCTGAAAGGGTTTAGTGGTCTACTTTTTCATGGTGTTACTTTTTAAATCCCCATTTCCATTGTCACTCTTAATGCTTTCAGAAACTCAAAATCTTTTTTGTTGACCTCTTCAGTTAATTTCTCATGGCTTTCCTGACTTAAATTAGTCCTTATCATGCAATTTGTGAGAGACTCCCACATGTATGTTCTGGCCTTTAAGAAGAAAAATTATTTGGGCATCCAGTTACGTTTTAAAAGCAGACTCCATCTTTACTGGACAATTAGACATGTATAGGAAGTCATAATTTTTGTCCTTTTTTGTCTTTGTTTCATTTTTTTCCCCAATAAAGAAGTCTAGGGAAATGATTTCAGGATGGACTGGTTTACAAGATTTTGTGGGTGGGGAGAGAGGGGACCAGTGTGGATGACAGAAGTCAGTGACAAACCAGACTGAACCTCTTTATACTCTGGTCCTTTTAGTCCTCTTCAGATAAATCAGCAAGTTCAGCTCTCTCTCCAACTGAAAGGTGGTTCTTCTGAATTGGGCCCTTGCCATAACTTGGATAGGCCTTTTTCTAGTGTCCTTGTCTTTTGCAATATAATATGTCTTCTGATCGCTGTCTAGTCTCATTTTTCCTCTTGGGGTTTGTCTTGGAGTCCCTTAGCCTTACCTTTGGCAGTTTTTAAAAAGACAGTATTGAAACAACTATGAGATATCATCTCACTCCAGTAAGAATAGCAAAATTTAACAGAACAGCAAACAACAAATGCTGGAAAGGTTGTGGAGAAACTGAAACCCTTATTCACTGTTGGTGGGAGTGTAAAATGGTGCAACCACTATGGAAGGCAGTATGGTGTTTTCTCAAAAAGTTGCAAATAGAAATACCATTTGACCCAGCAATTCCACTACTGGGAATATACCCCAAAGAAACCATAATCGTCACCCAAGCAGATATATGCACACCCATGTTTATTACATCTTTGTTCACAATAGCAAAGAGCTGGAAACAACCCAAGTGCCCATCAACAAATGAATGGATAGAGAAGCTGTGGTATATTCACACAATGGGATATTATGCTGCATTGGAAAACAAGGAACTCATGCAATATTATTAAAAATGGGTAACCCTGGAGGATATTATGCTGAGTGAAATATCTCAGTCACAAAAGGAAAAATACTGCATAGTGCCACTATTGTAAAATAGGACTGACATTGGGGTTAGGGGGAGACTGAGAAAGGTGGGATAAGTTACATATATTACATTAAAATAGATAATGGAGAAAACTGTTTAAAAGGGATATATGATTAGATTATATTATCATGACAGGAGTCCAGAATGAAGGGTGCATAGTAGAGTGGACATGTGGGGAAGGATTGTGTAACAATGAAATAATTTTTCTTTTACTTTTCAAAGAGAAGCATTAATTGGAGTGGGGATGGTCAGGGAGAAACAATGAATGAATGGAAATCCAAAGTCTCTAAATGTTCATTAAAATTAATAATAATAATTAAAAAAACACAATTTTTTAAAAAAGACAGCATTAACTGGAGGTTTCTGACATTCTTGATTATTGAACACCTTGGATGTGATGTCAACCACCTGAATCTGTGCCAAATGACCCTGTTTATCTTTTGTAGGTTCCTTCTAATTTTCAGGAATGATTTGGGGAACAAAAGTCAGGTTCATTATTCAGATATTAACTGAATTCTCTGGGGCAAGGTCCATGTATTTACAGAAAGCTTGGTGTAACCTTTCACAAATTAGAAAGGATTTCCATTTGGGTGCTGCAGAAGAGCTCCTATCATACAGCTCCTGTCATAATCAGGTTTATCTGTTTAGGGCATCTTTTTTATTGTTTTCTTCTTGCACTTTGATACTGTACTTTTTGTGCTGCCCTAAGCATAGGCTTTTTAATTTGAATTCCAATTAGTTTTACTGAAGCAATTGTCTTTGAATCGTATCTATGAAAGCAAACTGCTACCATTTGTCCCATCTCCTCACTGACCAGAAGCATAATTAACAAAGTTTGAATATATGCTTACTTAGCAAAAAATAATGATTTTTTAAAAAGTCTGTTATTTTAATACAACCTTCTGATCTAAGTCAGAGAAAAGAGTATGCTCTTCCTAAGATTTTTTGAGTTACCCATATACGTTAAAATCTATAGGTAACTACCTGAGGGGATATCATTTGACCTTGCTCTGAGCAGCCCTATCTGAAAGGATATGAGATGGAGAGACTATGGATCTAAATTGCTTTCCTCAGGTCTCCTGTGAAGTGAGATTAACTCTAGGTTTTTGTCAATACATGTCACTGATGTATCAGAAACTGCTGGCCTGATTTGGGTGCCAACCATCTGAAAATCTGTATTCTCTTTCTTGAGATAGCGTTTCATTGACTATGCTAAGACATTTAACTGTGTGGATCCCAGCAAATCATAGCTAACCTTAAAAAGAATGGAAATCCCAGAATACTTGATTGCACTTATACAAAGCCTGTACTTGGACCAGGAAGCAGTCATCAGAACAGAGCAAGGAAACACTGCATTACTGAAAATTAGAAAAGGAGTGCATGCATGAGGGATGCATTCTGTCTCCATACCTTTTTCAATGTGTATGTAGAATAGGTCATTTGAAAGTCTAGACTTTATGAGGAGGAATGTGGCATCAGGATTGGAGGAAGACTTATCAGTAACCCTTGTTACATAAATGACACAATCTTGGTTGCTGAACTTGAGAAGGACCATAAATATTTGCTGCAGAACGTCAAGAATTGTAATCTTCAATATGAATTGAAGCTCAGCATCAAGAAAACAAAGATTTTCATCACTAGGTCAATTGGCAGCACCATAATAGATGATGAAGAGATTTAAAATTGCTAATTATTACAGCTTGCTCAGTTCTACAATCAACACTCTTGGCACAAACAATTAGGAAGTCGAAAGATTAATTGTATTAGGAATAGTCTGCTGTAAGGGACCTCTCCAGAATGCCAAAAAGTAATAATGTCAATCTGGAGAGTAAGGTGCACTTGATCTGGGCCATGACTTTCCCCAATGACTTGCTATCATCAGAGAGCTGGGCAATGAATAAGAATGACAGAAAAATTGATGCCTTTGAGATGTGGTGCTGGGGAAGAATACTGAACCTATCACGGACTGCTTAAAGAATAAACATTTTTGTTGGGGCTTTTTTTTTTAAACATAAAATTTTAATTTTATACAACTTTACTTGCAAAGTTTGTGCATATTGTTTTGCATTCAGACAGGATGTTTCCCATTTCCTTAACCCAGCTCTCCATCCACACATCAAATAGTGCCACCCTATTATTAGCCACCCCCATTCTCATGCTTCTGCTCCCCCTCTCAGATCCTCATACACAACTGACTAGTTATCTATTTCTATAATAACGGCCTTAAACAGTATTTTTCCTTTTGATCACTACAGCTATGTAGTACATTTGGTGTGTTGTTGGGTTTTTTTTAAAATTTAAAAAACATTATTTCCATATGAAATAATTTTATTTTCCTGTGTGCATAGATAATTACATGCCAAGCAGCTATTGCCTGGACAGAAAATTCTCCCCTTTCAGTTGAGAAGGTACAAGTTGACCCACCAAAGGCTGGGGAAGTTCGAATTAAGGTAAATTTGCATTTTTTTTCACCTTTACATTTGAAGGTAAAATAAAAACAAACCCTGTTTCATAGCATATCTATATATAGGTATCTCATCTATAATTTGGGTCTAATTCTCTTCACAAATTAAGAATTTTACAAACTAGGTTAAGTGGTAGAGTTAATGAAATTTTGAGAACTTTGATTAATTACGGTAAATTATAAGTAATCCTCATGCTTGGTGGAAAGAAGTCGGGTTGCAATCCTATAGGCATGTGTTTAGAATCCACCAGCTGTTCCTTGGGAAGGACAACAATGAAAACATAGAGAGAGCTAGTGAGTAGAAAGTGATGCTACCAAGCCCAAGGTGGGTGATTTTAATCTGAGGCCCTCAGGCATGGTTTTAATTGTTTTTGTCAAGCATTCTTCTAGGTGGTATAGCACTGGTCTGTCCATTTGCTGTACAGAGGTAATTCGTGGTGGTTGTGATGCTAAACATTGACATTGATGTGTCAAATGCAATAATGGTTACCCATGGAGGACAGTGTTTGGTGGAGCTTCCCTATTAAAACAAGCTTGGAAGCAGGAGTGGCATCCACTTCTGAAATGACTTGCCTCTGGAAACTCGATGAACATGGAGAAATGACCAAAGTTATACAAGTGTTCAGGTCTTTTGTTCATAAGGTTGCTATGAGTTGTCTACAACTTGAGGGCACTTAATAACAACAACTCTCTTCACAAATTAAGGATTTTACAAACTAGGTTAAGTGCATAGAGTTAATGAACTTTTGAGATCTTTTATGAATTAGGAGAAAGTATAAGTAATCCTCATGCTTTGTGGCAAGAAGCAGGGTTGCAATCCTAAAGGCATATGGTTAGAATCTGCCAGGTGCTCCTCAGGAGAAGGATAGGCAATCTCCTCCCATGAGATTAATTTCATCTAAAAACATGCCGGCGGGTCAGATATAAGTTGGCTCTGACTTGATGGTACAAAACAAAACAACATGCTTGGAAAAGTGGAGGGTTGTTGAAAGAGAGGAAGACCCTCAATCAGGTGGATTTACACAGTGATTGTCACAATGGACTCTAGTGTGTCAGGAAGTGGAGGAAGGCACAGAGTAGGACAGAATTTAGATCTCTTGTTCATAGAGTTGTTATTGGTTGTACTTGATTCGACGGCACCTAGTATTTCAATGTGGATTATTTCCCAGTTTTAATAATGTTTGTATAGGTGTATAGGTGTTTTAGGTGTAAAACCAGAATTTAAATAAAAGAAAAAAATTCTCCCCCCCCCCAAAAAACCCATAGGTAATCCTCCAGAAGAAAGAACTGAAAAACAAATCAAGCTTCGAGTTGTAATACTTAGAGATGCTATAGACAAAATCTTGAATGATCTGAAAGCATCAAAATAAGACTGTGAGAATACACAGACTCACTGTACCAAAAAGAATCAGCTGACAATAAAATGTTTCATGAGGTACTATATGATCAAGAGCTTAAGCTAGTGAAGAAAGAAATACGAACTATACTGAAAGTATTGGTAAAAATAAGACACTAGAAATCAATGTGATACCAATTGACATGTTTGAAATAACATATGCAGCCCTGTACATGCTCACCAATCTATACCACAAAATTTGGAGGACAATAGCTGCCTGACTGATCGAAAGAAATCCATATTTGTTCCTATTCCCAAGAAAGGTGATTCAACAGAATGTGGGCATTATCAAACAAAATAATTAATGTCACATGCAAGTAAAATGTTGCCGAAGATCATTCAAAACTGGATAGAATGGTGTGAAAATTGATGTATACAAATTTTGTAAATAAATCTGTATAAAATACAAATTTAAAAAAATATAAAACAAAACAAACAAAATTAGATAGAGAGGACATAGAAAGAAAACTTCCAGATGTTCAGGTGAGATTTAGAAGATGCCACAGCACCAGGGATATCATTGATGATGTCAAATGGATTCTGAGGGAGGGCAAAGAACATCAGAAGAATGCATATTTGTGAGTTATTGACTAGCTAAAGACATTTGGCTGTGCGGATCATAACGAATTATGACTGATATTGAGAAGGATGAGAGTTTCAGAGCACTTAATTGTGCTCATGTGAAACTTATATGTGAACCAGAAGGCAGTTGTGTGAACAGAGTAGGGAAATACTGCGTGGTTTAAAATGAAAAAGGAAGTATGTCAAGGTTGTATTTTCCATTCACAATAAATCTGTATGCCGAGAAAATTATTTGAGAAGCTGGATTCTAGAGGCATGTGTCATCAGGATCGGAGGGAGACTCATCAATAACCTGTGTTATGCTGATGACACAAACTTGCTTGCTGAAAGTAAGGAGGACTTGAATCATTTGTTCAAGAAGATCAAGGAATGCAGCTTTCAGTATGGACTGTATCTCAATGAAAAAACAAAACAAAACGAACATTCTTGCCACTGGACTGATAGGCAACATTATGATGGAGAAGAGATTTAAACTGTCAGCAACTTCATCTTACTTGGATCCACAATTAAAACTCTTGACATCAGCTATTAGGAAATAAGGAGATACCTTGCACTGGGACTGTCTGCATTTAGGGATATCTCCAAATTATTGAGGAGCAATGATAACAGTGTTAGGACTAAGGTGCATTTGATTCAGGTCATGGTCTTTCTGATCACTTTTTATGCATCTAAAATCTGGACAATGATTAATTATGACAGAAGAATTGATACCTTTGAGCTTTGGTGCTAGAGAAGAGCATATTCCATAGATTGCCAAAAGAACAAACAAACAAGTCTTGGAGAGAGTGCAGCCAGAGTGCTCTTTGGAGGCAAGGATGATGAGGCTTCACCCCACATACTTTGTGCATGTTACTAGGATGGGCTTTCCTCAGAGAGAAACATGATGCTTGCAAAGGTAGAGGGTCGGTGAGGGAGAGGAAGACCCTTGACCAGACCAGGTGGATGGATTGACATGGTGTTTGCTGCAATGGACTCTAGTGTGTCAGGAAGTGTGAAGGTGACACAGTACAGGATGGGGTTCAGATTCATTGTTCACAGGATCATTATTGAGTCTTACTTGATTTAATGGCACCTAACAACAACAACAACAGCAGCATCATTTAATCTGTATGTTGAGCAAATTATTTCAGAAGCTGCACTCCATGGAGAAGAATGTGGCATCGGTATTTATTCATCAATAATTTTCATTATGTAGCTGACTCAACCTTGTTCACCAGATGCGAAAACTTGAAGTGATGCTACAGAAGGCCAAACACTGCATCATTCAATATGGATTATGTATCAATGTAATGAAAACAGAAACCATTGGGAGGATAGACAATAGCAGAACATATGGAGAAAAGATTGACATTCTCGTTGACTCCCTCTTACTTGGATTCACAATCAATAAATACAGTTTGTACCAGCAGTCAGAATATCAGGAGACATATTTCACTGAGACAGTTTGCAGCCAGGGGCTTCTCAAAATTATTGAGGAGAAATGGTTTCAATTTGAGAACTAAGGTACGCCTGATTCAAGACATAGTCTTTCAATCACTTATTATGCATCTGAAATCTAGAAAGTGAGTAAAGATGACAGAAAAAGAATTGATGCCTTTGAGTTGTGGAGTTGGAGAAAAGTACTTATGAATATCTCATGTCCTACCAAAAGAACAAACACATATCTTGGAGAAAGTACAGCCATGGTGTTCCTTGGAGGCAAAGATGATAAAGCTTCATCTCCTATACTTTGGGCACGTTGCTAGGACAACAATAACATAGGCAATTCAATTTATTTTTTAAATTATGTATTTCTTACTGTTATTTTTTGTTGTTCAGAGTTGTACAACAGCTCTGAGTCCTGTTCTATCCTGTGCCAACCTTATTTGTCTCTGACTCATCTACCCCCATTACCCTAGTCACTGAATCAATCCATCTCATTGAGGGTTTTTCTCTCTTGTGCTGTCCCTCCACCCTTCCAAGTATGATGTTCCTCTCCAAGGAATTGTCCTTCTTTGCAACATGTACAAAGTACGACAGATGAAGCTTCAGAATCTTTGTCTCTAAGGAGTAGCCTGATTTAACCCCCACTAGGACTGTTTGTTCTTCTAGCAGTCCATGATATATTCAATACTCTTCTCCAACACCACATCTCAAATATATCAATTTTCCCTCTATCATCTCTAGCCATTGTTCAGCTTTCTTATACAGAACAAGCTATTGCGAAGATTATGGCTTGGATCAGGCTCACCTTAGTCTCCAGACTGACATCATTGCTCTTTAGTACCCTGGATGGGTCCCTGGCAGCAGACTTTCCCAATGCAATTAGTCTTTTCATTTCCTGGCTGCTGAAGAGTGTTCATTATGGAGTCAAGCAAACGGAAGCTGTTAACAATCTCAGTCTCTTCACCCTCTATCATGACTCTGCTAATCAACCCAATGGTGAGAATCTTTGTTTTCTTGATGTTGAACTTTAATCCATATTTAAGGCTGCAGTCCTTGACCTTCTGCAGCAAGTACTTCAGGTCCTCCTCAGTTTTAGCAAGCAAGGTTATGTCATCTTTTTACTAAGATGATAAAATATCACAGGCTTGACAATTTCTTGATGAAATCTAGAGAGTTGTGTTGGTATTTTTTTGTGTGTGGTTTTTTTTTTAGAGTAAAGTTCTTCTGAGTTTTGAGGAGAAGTAAAAAGAGTGTGTTTTTCAGATGCATCTGTGATACAAATATTCATGGTCAATAAACACCTATTTATTCAATAACTAATGGACAAATCATCATATTGTACTGTTTTGTGCTCACATATTTTTATGTTGTTGTTGTTGTTAAGTGCCGTTGAGTCGCAGGCGACTCATAGCGACCCTATGAAGGAGAGTCCTTGATGCTTGGGTGCCTTTCATCCTCTCTCCAAGTTCATAGGGTTTCCTGAGGCAAGCTATTATGGAAGTGGATGCCACTTCCCCTTCCACCATGTTTTTATAACCTCAAGAAAATTGTGTGCAATGTAGTAAGTTATCCTTTTCTGGGAAGGATTAGTAAGAGAGCTGTGATAGCCTTCAAATAGATAATGAACAGCTATTGAACATAATTTTCTCCAGGATTGAGAAAACACTGGTCTATCAAAGTTTCTTTGTCACTCTCAAGTCAGCCTTTCAATCGATGCATCTTAAATTATATGAAACCGTTCAATACCCCAGACTAGGAGTCTTATTACTTCAAATCATATTAAATATTAAATTCACTTGGCTTTATCTCACATACTTTGATCATGTTATCAGAAGGGCCAAGTCCCTGGAACATGACATAATGAATAAAATAGTAGATACCTTAAAGTTGATGGGTTGACACTTAAGCAAAATAACAAGTTTGAAGGTCATGCAGGATTAAGTAAGGGTTTGTTATGTTGTACATACTTTTTATTGGATACAATCCCCAGTGGATTACATCACCAGAGTTCCTTGGAATGAATTTGATGAGACATCATTTAGTAAAGATTTACTGTGTATCACTTTTCACTAAAATGTTTACTAGGTGATTACTCACTGTCCTGTGCTCTTATAGTACTTAACAAGATAGGGTGAACTCAAAATAATAAATTAGAGTATGACATCAAGGTCAAAGTGACAGCAACAAGCATATAAGCAATGCTATTCTCAGTCTTGAATAAAACTCAGGACTAGATCTACCCCTAAAGTCAGAGGCATCCACTTTCAGCTTATGCTATGGACATTTTTTCACAGATAATTAAATATTTATATTTGCTATGGAAGAATAAAACTAATAAAACTTCAGCTTGCTAAATGTTAGATAACACTGCTAGATTTTTATAGCATCTATGATGTTAACCTAAAAGTTGGCTTTTTTAGTATTGCGGTTAACCTACTATGGCTTCTCTAACTACCTTAACTGCAGACATATGGTCTTACAAATCATCCACAACTGTGGGACTAGGATAACAGAAAGAATGCTTCCCACATAAGGCAACAAAGGCTGAGGTGAGCAAGATTTCTAGTGGCAAGCCTTGAAGGAGAATGGAATAAAGCACTGGTGTGAGTGAAACTCTGGTGATGGTGGTGGAGAGACTGTGGCATTGCTGTAAAGAAATTGTGACAAGGTGTGCTCTGAGGCTTCTTGCATTTGTGCTGGCCACAGTGAAAGGGTATGCCATTCTTGTCAGATGCTTGAAAGAGAAACTGACTTATAACTACACTGAGGCAAACCTTGCTGGAGGATTTGGATTTGGCTGCTGAAGTGAAACCAGAGCCTGGACTAATTGAAGAATTGTACCTTGGAACTTGAGCTAAAACATATACTTTTTTGCCTCTCCCACTCTCCAACTTATTTCCCTATTAAACTCCATTCTCAATACCACAAGTGTGAGTCTGTGCATCAACAATGAATAAATGAACCTCTTGCTACTTGTGTGGTTCTAGAGGCACCATGGGGCTAGGCTCTTTATCTGATTTCTGTTCTGAGGCGGTGAGGGGCTGTCTTAGTCTCACTTCCTCTGATGCTTTCAGAAAGGTATTCATGGGCTTGTGTCCCAATGTCCCATTTTTTCCTCTCTAGACAGCATCTGTAAGCCACCTTAACACTATGGAACTCAAAAGCTCAGTGTATTTCTCATGATGTTTTCAGCATGTCAGCTATAAAATGCCACCTATCTCAGTAAAGATAATGGAAAATCAGTCAGTAGGACTTAAATAGTTTATTGGCTGTATTTTAGGCAGATCATTGGTATATAGACTATGGACTTTGTTTTTACTTTTATGATCTAACTTAATTAGGTTAGGTCCATTTAGAGTTAAGAAAACTTAGACCATGAAATAAGAATTTTTCAAAATTCTCAAGGTCAGTTAAATTTTTCATCAGTTCTTAAAATATTTTACATTATTAATTTAAAGTGTTTTATACAAGTTCAACAAATGAAAATTGATTTTCCAAAAGTGATGCAGAAACTTTGGAGTAGGGGGTTTGACTATCTGTGTTAATGGAGGTGCTTTTTGCCAGTTGGTAAAAATTTATCTATTACATGATACTTCTTTTACCTTTCAGGATTATTTGATAACATTGAGTGTAAAGACTAGATGTCACAATCTCCAGTTTTATTACCAAATCTGAAGCTCATAAACCATCTGATGTTGGATAGTTTATTTTAATCTTTGAAGTCTCCTGTTCTCCTCTTTAAGATGGGCCTGATATGACCTTTCCCGAATTTCTCTGACACTGTAACAATGATCAAATGAGATAATGAATGTAAAAATGTAAATGCTCAATTATAGAATGAATAAAGGAGAAAAAATTGCAAAATAACTGATCTTTGGTCACTTTATATCTATGCAGATAACATCTTCAGGAATCTGTGGTTCTGATAGTCATGTACTAAAAGGAGAACTTTTGATTAAATTTCCTTTAATCCCAGGCCATGAAGGAGCTGGGATTGTGGAGAGTATTGGTGAAGGAGTGACCTCTGTTAAACCAGGTATGATACTATGAAATAGCAAAAACCTTACCAAAATAGCACCTCAATGGGCTCTTCTGGGCAAGATCACAACATATAGCACATTAGCATATTTTACAAGAGAGTTAATTTGACTTGCTTCTAGATTATTCTCATTAGTCACATATCATGATGTTACATTTATCACGTGATTCCAAGAATCACAAACATTTTCTTTTGCTATCTCTAACAAGCCACTAGGGCAATGACAGAGCTATGGCTGCAAAGTAAATAAAAGTTGAGATAGAACCAATGTATTTCTTTTTTTTCTATAATTATATTTTATTAATTTTCATAAACATTTACAGAGATTTTGGGTTTCCATTCATTCATTGTTGCACTATTCTCTCTACCCTC